TATATATATATATTCACATGTTTTTTTAAACAGAGTCTTGCTCTGTCACCCAAGCTGGAATGATCTTGGCTCACTACAACCTCTGCCTCCCAGGTTCAAGTGATTCTTCTGCCTCAGCTTCCTGAGTAGCTGGGATTACACCAACCCTGGCTAATTTTTGTATTTTTAGTAGAGACGGGGTTTCCCCTTGTTGGCCAGATGGGCCTCAAACTCCTGACCTCAGGTGATCCACCCGCCCAGGCCTCCCAAATTTCTGAGATTATAGGCATAAGCCACCGCGCCCGGCCGGTTTACATATTTTTAATAAAAGAAAAGAAGAGCCAGTTCAACATGATCCTTTGAGCATCCCTCTTTTAAAATACCTTTGCCTACGTATCAGTAGGGATGTCCTAAGGCGGGGAGGGGGTGAGGAGCAGGGTTGATGGGAGAGGATGGACTTTACCCAGAGCCCTCTGTGTTTAAAGGCAAGTGCCTGACTTCTGAAATTAGTGGAAATTTTAAAATCTCCATGGCAAGAAGGCATCAAAGGGTCTTGCTATCTGAAAAGGCTGTGTGTGTATTAGGGGAAGGACAGTATTCTGGGAGAGAAAAAAACACCTTGCAGCCAGGAGCAGTGGCTCACGCCCGTAATCCCAGCACTTTGGGAAGCCAAGGTGGGCAGATCACCTGATAGGTAGGAGTTCTAGACCAGCTTGGCCAACGTGGTGAAATCTCGTCCTTACGAAAAATACAAAAATTAGCTGGATGTGGGGATGCATCCCAGTTACTTGGGAAGCTGAGGCATGAGAATCGCTTGAACCTGGGTGGTAGAGATTGCAGTGAGCCAAGATAGCGCCACTGCATTCTAGCCTGGGCAACAGAGCGAGACTTTGTCAAGAAAAAAACGTCAATCAGGCGTGGTGGCTCATACCTGTAATCCCAGCACTCTGGGAGGCCAAGGTAGGTGGATCACTTGAGGTAGGAGTTTGAGAGCAGCCTGGATACCATACTGTAACCCCGTCTCTACTAAAAAATAGAGAAATTAGCTGGGGGTGGTGGCCCATGCTTGTAGTCCCAGCTACTTGGGAGTCTGAGGCAGGAGAATTGCTTGAACCCAGGAGGCACAGGTTGCAGTGAGCTGAGATTGCGCCATTGCACTCCAGCCTGGGTGACAGAATGAGACTCTGTCTCAAAAAAAAAAAGAAAAAAAAATTCACCTTGCAATAAATTATCCTGCTGCAAATGTTTATGTTTAATTCATTTTGTATCCCATCCCTTTCCCCTCAACCCCCAAAGAAATCAAGAGGGATCCAGTTTATATTTGTGCTGTTTGTGGCTTGAATCCCAAAATCTTGGGTACGAGCTGATCAGGGTTCCTGGGTCTGGCTGGTGAAGGGTAACCCAAGGTGTCCATGGAGCCCAAGGAAAGTCTAGGCCCTCATTGTTCACCAACTGTATCCACAGAGAGCTTGTCAGACATGTAGAATCTCAAGGCCCACTAAAGCTTACGCTGTATTTCTTTCTTTTCTTTTTTTCCTGTTGCCAAGGTTGGAGTGCAGTGGTATGATCATAGCTCACAGCAGCCTGGACCTCTTGGGTTCAGGTGATCCTCCCACCTCAGCCACCTGCATAGTTGGGACTACAGGCACATACCACCATGCCTGGCTAATTAAAAAACAATATTTTTATATAGAAACTGGAGTCTTGTGCCCACGTTGCCCAGGTTGGTCTCAAACTCCCAGCCTCAAGTGATCCTCCTGCCTTGGCTTCCTAAAATGTTGGGATTACAGACATGAGCCTTAATTTGCATTTTTTTTTTTTTTTTTTTTAAACGGAGTCTCGCTCTGTCACCCAGCCTGGAGTGCAATGGCATCGTCTCAGCTCACTACAACCTTTGCCTCCCAGGTTCAAACAATTCTCCTGCCTCAGCCTCCAAAGTAGCTGGGATTACAGATGCGTGCCACCACACCCGGCTAATTATTGTATTTTTAGTAGAGACAGGGTTTCACCATGTTTATCAGGCTGGTCTCAAACTCCTGACCTCATGATCCACCTGCCTCTGTTTCCCAAAGTGCTGGTATTACAGGTGTGAGTCGCTGTGCCTGGCCAAGATGCATTCTGATAATATCCCAGCTGATTTGTGTGCACAGTGAGGTTTGAAAAGCACTGTTCTTGGAAAGAAGGGGCTGGGTGGGAGTTGCTATTATTGGAAGAGTCGCAAGAGATTTTGGCTGTGAGAAAGTCCCCTGTTGGGTTAGCAGGGTTCAGGCCTCTGGTGTGAGCAGATGTGGTTCTCACTCTAGCACTGAGTCGCTGAGTCTCCATGACGGGGCAGGCTCACCTGCTGAGCAACAGCACTGCTCACCGGGATGGAACTCCCAGCTCTATTTATTGCTTAGACCTTTGTTCTAATTTCATGGTTTCTGCCTTGGGTTGTGTCATCCTGGACTTGCAAGGCTTAAGTGTGGCGTAAGTCATCGTCACCAGAGCTGATGAATTTCCCATTTTGGTGACGCCTTAATTGAAGGTGAGGCTTTCCTTTCATTAGCAAGATTCCTAGCTCCTGTCTAAACTGTCACCTCAAAGACCTGGGGGAAGAGAGAGGCTGACCTCATGGTGTGGCCTCAGTTATGTGGGTTTGATGGCTTCTCTAAATGTATCAAAGTCTCAGGCAAGCCTGTGGCATAATTACTCAAGGCCTTGGGAACGTTGGCATTGAGGATTTTGTTTCTCAAACCAATGAATAAATATTTTTCTAGCTCTTACTCCTTGCAACTGCTTTACTATAGAAAAAAGCATTTTATTTCAGCCAATTCTCACTACCATCCTTTGGGGGAAGGGGGTTGCTATTATTCCCAGTTTACAGAAAGGAAAACAGCGTTTGCTTCGGCAGCACATATATATACTAAAATTGGAACGAGACAGAGAAGATTAGCATGGCCCCTGCGGAAGATGACATGCAAATTCATGAAGCGTTCCATATTTTTGCTGGCGCAGTGGCTCATGCCTGTAATCCCAGCACTTTGGGAGGCCGAGGTGGGTGGACCACAAGGTTAGGAGTTTGAGACCAGCCTGGCCAAAATGGTGAAACCCGATCTCCACTAAAAATACAAAAAATTAGCCAGGCATGGTGGCGAGCATCTGTAATCCCAGCTACTCAGGAGGCTGAGGCAGGAGAATCACTTGAACCCGAGAGGGAGAGGTTGCAGTGAGCTGAGATTGCGCCATTGCACTCCAGCCTGGTGACAGTGTGAGACTCCGCCTCAAAAAAGAAAGAAAAGAAGAGAAAGAGAGAAAGAAAGGAGGGAGGGAGGGAGGGAGGGAAGGAAGGAAAACAGTCAGAGAGGTAAAGTCACTTTTTCAAGGTCACAGAGCAAATTAAATGGCTGAGTGGGGACCCAAACCCAGATCTGCCTGTCACCAAAGTCAGTGCCCTCTGTCCTCCCTAGCTATACCTGGACTTCTGAGGACAGAATTCCCCTGGCGGAGGCTGTCAATTGTTTTCCTTCAGGTGAAGAAGAAAAGCCGGAATGTTCTTTTGGGTGATCGTGGTGATCTTCTCTTGCCTCTCCCAGCTCAGAGGCAAGCATGTTTCCTGGCTTGCCTTGTTCCTCTTCTCTTATGAATGACCTGGCCCCAGAAATGTGGCTTCTCTGCTCCAGTGGCTTCTTGGAAGGCCAAAAATTGAGCCTGGGCCACTTGCCCACAGGGATTGTGGCCAGCTGGGCAAATGCCCATGGCCAAGTGGCCATCTGGCCATGACCCTTCCAAGGACAGACGTCAACTTGCAGCTCCGTAAGATTACCCTGAGTATGCCGGGCGCGGTGGCTCACGCCTGTAATCCCAGCACTTTGGGAGGCCGAGGCGGGTGGATCACGAGGTCAAGAGATCGAGACCATCCTGGTCAACATGGTGAAACCCTGTCTCTACT